TCTACAAAAATCTTTATCGGTCAGACCGCATAACAACATACGTTGTTCCCATTGTCATCTGTATGTTACTTGCCCGAGATTCGATCGTCGGTATCTCAATACCTAGTTCAATCTCGTTACCGGCAAGTCCCTTTACTCGTTCCGTAATACATCAACCCACAACTAACTCATTAGTTGCAATGCTTGCAAGGCTTAAGTGATGTGCATTACCGAGAGGGCCCAGAGATACCTCTCCGACAATCAGAGTGACAAATCCTAATCTCGAAATACGCCAATCCAACAAGTACCTTCGGAGACACATGTAGAGCACCTTTATAATCACCCAGTTACGTTGTGACGTTTGGTAGTACACAAAGTGTTCCTCCGGTAAATGGGAGTTGCATAATCTCATAGTCATAGGAACATGTATAAGTCATGAAGAAAGCAATAGCAACAAACTAAACGATCAAGTGCTAAGCTAACGGAATGGGTCAAGTCAATCGCATCATTCTCCTAATGATGTGACCCCGTTAATCAAATGACAACTCATGTCTATGGTTAGGAAACATAACCATCTTTTATCAACGAGCTAGTCAAGTAGAGGCATACTAGTGACACTCTGTTTGTCTATGTATTCACACATGTATTATGTTTCCGGTTAATACAATTCTAGCATGAACAATAAACATTTATCATGATATAAGGAAATAAATAATAACTTTATTATTATCTCTAGGGCATATTTCCTTCAGCTGGTGCCTGCTCCTGGTGTGTTAAAGAGGTTTCTTCCCTCATAAACAGGCGGCAGGTGAGACCGTTACCTTCTCCTCATGACATCATCTGACGCACTTTGGTCCAGCATAAGCCGATAGGCCTGTGCCTCTAACCCGGCCCGCTCAGCGGCCATCTTGGTGTTCTCTGCTGCCAGATCTGCTTTAGCTTGAGCTATCTGATCCTTCACCTTTGCAATCTCTGCGTTATGCTGATCCCGGTTTGCCGCGTCAACCTCTGCTGCTAGCAACGTTGCCAACGTGTCAAACAAATCGGACAAAACCTGAGCCGATGGTGATGCTGAGCCCCCTGCTCTGGCTGGTGTTGCCGCTGCTGAACCGGAAATCACCGCTGCGGCGGTAGAAGAGTGCTGCGCTGATTGTGTACCGGCCATTAAGATCGCAACTCGGATTGGCGGTTCAAGGAAGTCCGGAATACTGTCGCCATCGGAACCACCACTAATCCGGCCATCATGCAGCTGGTAAAGCGACTCGGTCTCTCCGGTTGAAGACTTGTCATCAGAGTAGACGACGGTTTCGCCACCAGATACTGATCTATCCTCAGATTCCGCTCCGTGGATGACTCCCACAAAGGCATGCTTCACGGCAGGCTGAACGCGGGCGGGTCTTGCGCGCTGAGCTGTCTCAATGATGTCGGTGCAGATGTCCGGCTCAGGGCCCAGTTCACCGATCTTGCCAATGAAGACGTGTATTCCGCCAAAGGGGACCCGGTACCCGTACTCGATAGAGCCGGCCTCGGGGCCCCAGCCTGCGTCGTCGATGTAGAGCTTGCCGAGACGACTCTTGGTCATCCGACCCACAACGTATCCCTTGAGTCCTTCGAAGCTGCCTTCAAGAACTCGAAACCATCGTGTGATAGCCCCACAGTGGGCGCCAACTGTCGTGGAATTGTCACGGCAGATGTCCTCGTGAAAGGACTTAGTCGTGGATCCATCGCAACGGGTTAGCTAAAAGGGGTTAAAGCGAACAAGGGATGCAAGGGTTTATACTGGTTCGGCCCCTTACGGTGAAGGTAAAAACCTATGTCCAGTTGTGATGGAATTGCTTGGGTTTCGATAACCAGGGAGCGAATCTGCTTTGCCTGGTTCTCGAGTTATTGTTTGTTCTCCCTAAACCGCCGTCGGGTCGTCCCTTTATATACATAGGTCGACGCCCGTCGGTTTACAGAATCCCGAGGCCGGCTCATAAACATGTCCGGCTCGGTCTCTACTCTTTCTATCTTATAACACAAGTTTACATATCAATGTCAGTTTATGTCTACAGGCCTTAACCCGCCTTTGGGCCTTGGGCCTTCATAAAGCGCCACCATCTTTGTCTTTATGGGCTTCAAATATAATAATCATTATGGGGATAACCCATCCTCTCCTGGCCGGTTTATGTCCAGTAGTAATACCCCCAACAAGCTCCCTAGCCCTTCGGGTTTCAACCGTCGCTGGAGTCCCACCCTCAACTGGTAAAGCCGCCAATCGCGTCACCGCAGCAATCATGTTGTCCAAAGGGGTGGAATAGTGACCCGACGGTGTTACCATGTGTTGAGGCTGGTGTTGTTCATATACGGAGAACTTGTCACGCGCGGCCGACTCGGCATCCCACCGCCTGACGCTTCAGTCATCCGATTTACCACCGGTGGGTTACTGGCCCCGGCTCCAGGGATGTTGAAGAGCTCCCTTGACTCATAAACTGAGGGCAGATGACTCCGATATTTTCTCCTCATAACTTCATTCGACGCGTTCTGATCCACCGTGAGCCGGTATGAATCTGCTTGAATTCGCTGTGCTTGGGCACTTAAAACGACCCGCTCTACAGCCATCCTGGCATTTTCTGCTGCTAATTCCGCCTTAGCTTGCGCTATCTCATCACGCAACTTAGCTATCTCTGCCTTGTGCTCCTCCTGGTTGTCTGGGGTTACCTCAACCTCCATCAGAGTCGCCAGAGCATCCAACAGATCTGTTAAGATTTGAGCCGGCGGGCGTGCTGAACCGCCAGCCCCAGCTGCCGTTACCGCTACTGCACTAGAAGTCATAGCCGCGACGGCTGTCGAACCAAGAACCGGCTGGGTGCCAGCCATGAAGATCGCCACCCTGTTCGGCGGCTCACGGGGATCCGGAATACTATCGCCATCAAAACAGCCCCCAAGCCGCCCGTCTTGTAGCTGATACATTGAGTTGGTCTCGCATGTGGACGACTCATCATCAAAGCAGATAGTTGTCTCACCGCCAGAGACAGCCTTCCAACTCAGCCCTGTGGGTGAACCCAACGAAGACATGCCTTACGGCGGGTTGAGCCCGGGCTAGTCGTGCACGCCGAGCTGTCTCGATGATGTCGGTGCAGATGTCCGGCTCGCCGACCTTGCCGATGAAGACATGGATTCCACCGAAGGGGACCCGGCGTACTCAATTGAGCCGATCTCGGGGCCCCAGCCTGCATCGTCGATGTAGAGCTTGCCGTGACGACTCTTGGTCATCCGCCCCACAACGTATCCCTTGAGCCCTTCGAAGCTACCCTTTAAGAACTCAAAACCACCGTGCGCTGGCCCCACAGCGGGCGCCAACTGTCGTGGAAGTGTCACGACAGATGTCCTCGTAGAAGGACTTAGTTGTGAAGCCATTGCAATGAGGCTACCTTAAGGGGGTTAAACGGGACAAAGGACACGGAGAGTTTATACTGGTTCGGCTCCTTGCGGCGAAGGTAAAGGCCTACTCCAGTTTGAGATGGTATTGCTAGGGTTTCGATTACCAGGGAGCAAACACACTTTGCCTGGCTTTTGATTTGTTGTTTCTTACCCTAAGCCGCTGCCGGGTCGTCCCCTTATATACATGGGTTGACGCCCTGCAGCCTATAGAGTCCCGGTCGGCTCATACAAACGTGTCCGGCTTGATGACTTATCTTACATGATTTACAATACAAGTTTACATATACATGACAGTTTACACTTAAGGCCTTAAGCCGCTCCAGACTTGGGCCTTTTAATAAGCCTATCTATGAACCGCCATCCTCAGTATATTCTTGGGCTTCATTTGGATGAGCCGCCATAATAGATGACCCGGCCCTTTCTGAGCGGGTCATATCTGATAGTCATATCCCCAACAGTTAGTGAATGGATGGCATGTTCAGCCGTATGATACGAATATAGGACGCATGAGATGAACATAAGGCGTCCGGATATAGATGCTCTAACGTGACGCCAGTCTATTTTTCTATACTGGCGAATCGGTTTAGTCTTGTACTCTTGTTGCTAGACACTGGGAGAGCAGCCTGCTAGCAGAGCAAAGCAACGAATCTGAATCCGGCAAGCTGGTCAAACAACTTCGTGCCCAGCACGGTACCACCCCCTCGTTTTTCAAACGCGAGCCAACCAGAGCAGATCCATCTTGAATCAATCAGGCAGAGTATATCCGCCCACCCACCAGACCACCAGCAGGATACTCCTCCGAAACCCCCACGTCTACCCGTGCCCCGAGAAACGGCACGCCAACAACGGGATAAGCCAGCCCCGCGGTTTCCCCGGTCGCAGCCGTGCAACCCAAGCCTGGCGGACCGATGGATGGCAACACGATGTGCAACCCGAACGCCGACGCCAACGCCGACGTGCGCGCAGAAGCAACGTGCACCGGCGCAGATAATAAACAGTGTAAATAAAAATGTTCTTTTTCCGCACACGAGGAAGTGGGATGGCGTCCGCGGCACAGCACCGGGGCGCGCGGTCGCGTGGGCAGCAGCTTGCTGCAGCGGCGGGTGAAAGAGAGAGAGAGAGAGAGAGGGAGGGAGAGAGGGGAGAGGAGATATCCCTTTGCCATATTCCCCGTTGCGTGCAGGCACCCCTCCCCCGGGCCGGGCGCTGGCCACGCGCACCCGCGGGGGAACCGTCGGGTGACGGGTGGGGCCCGGGCGGCAGGGGGCGCGGGGGGCGTCGGGGTCGGGGACGGGTAGCGGGGGAGGGGGGAGGCGAAGCGGAGGGGATGGATTGATTTCTCGGGATTTATTTAAGGGAGAGGAGGGAGATAGGCACACGAAAGCAACAGCCAGGAGAGAGACCAAGAGAGGAGAGAAAAGGGAGAAGCCAAGGGAAGAGGAGGAGGAGGAGGAGTTGTTGGCTCTGGTTCTGGTTCCGGTCTGCGTGGAATCGCCGGAGGAGAGGGGAGGGACGGCGGAGGAGGGAGATGGTCGAGAGCTGACTGCGCGGATCGCGGTGGCCGGAGGGGGGGATCGGCCGGAGCAGGGACACTGCGGATGGTATTGGGCTTCGCCGGCGCCGGAGGCGGCGATCGCGGATGGGCGGCGGGGGCCGCGGGTGCTAGTGGCGGCGGAGTCGGAGGGGTCGGTGCTCGCGTCGGTCTCCGGGGAGGAGGTGTTGCAGGAGCAGGAGGAGCGCGGGGGGATGAAGCAGGGGAAGGGGGGGAGGAATGGGCTGCTGCCGAGCTCGCTGCGGATCATATCGTCCTGCCTCAAGACGGTCTCGTCCAACGCCGGCTCCGTCGCCTCCACGGTGCGCTCCGCCGGGGCCTCCGTCGCCGCCTCCATCGCCCCCCAGGCCGAGGACGAGAAGGACCAGGTCGCCTCCGCCCGCCGCAACCACCTCCAAAACTTCCTTTTTTTTCCCCACTGTTGCAGACAACTGTTGTTGAACTTGCTACTAGTGTTACTTCTGCTCAATTATACTCGCAACTGTACACTTGATTGCATGCCGATTTTTGGTAGGTCGTTATGGTCTGTCAGTAATCCGACTTGCTAGATCTTATCTAAGCATAGATTCAGAATTCCATGGCCAACTAACCAAGTCGGAGTTCGGTTGACCATCAATGAAGTTGAAGTTGGCACATAGTAGAATTGTTAATTAAGATATACGGAGTAACTAGTTGGACGTTTCCAGTCCTACAATACAATGGATGAAATTCTAGTTAGCTACATACATGGTGGACAGTTTGGTGAATTCAAATTTCCTATTTTTGCCACTATAATGCTGCTGTGATATTGCCAGCTGTCTGTTTGATACCAATTTGCACATCCATGCTACATTTAAGCTTGTGTTAGGATGGTATGTTTCCTTTTTTTCTGGAATCAGCTCAACAGGGGTATCTTGTTTCTATTGTACTTATTTGGTTAATGCTTGGTTCATCTTCTTTTATCGTTAGTCAACCGCTCTTAATTCCTTAACCTACCGTCGTGCTTCCTTATATCTTTGCAAATTCACTGACAGTATTCAGTCTTGACGTTTCATATGTGAACAGGTTTTGTGGGCTGGATTTGACAAATTAGAGCTTCGTGCGTCATCTTTCAAGCATGTTCTGCTCGTTGGCTACTCTAACGGGTTTCAAGTGCTTGATGTTGAGGATGCTGCAAATGTTTGTGAATTGGTCTCAAAACGCGATGGTCCAGTTACCTTTTTACAAATGCAACCCACACCACTTTACTCTGAAGAAACTGAAGGATTTAGGGCATCACATCCTATGCTTCTGGTTGTTGCTGGGGATGAGACAAATGGCTTGGGTATGGTTCAGGGTGGTCGTTTAAGTGCACTGATCAGGGATACAAGCACTGAACCTCAATCTGGAAACTGCATTTCTACCCCAACAGTTGTTCGCTTCTACTCTTTGAAGTCTCACACCTATGTACATGTTCTCAGATTCCGGTCTGCTGTATATATAGTTCGTTGCAGCCCCCGGGTTGTGGCCGTAGCACTTGCAGCGCAAGTAAGTTCTTGGTTTTCTTATTTCGTAGTGTAAATGATATTGGCAAAGATGCACAAACTTGTATATATGTGTTCTTATATTTTTCTGCTACATTCCAGATCTACTGCTTTGATGCTGTAACTCTTGAGAACAAGTTCAGCGTCTTATCATATCCTTTACAAGGGGCACCTGGAGCAAACATTGGGTATGGTCCAATGTCTGTTGGCTCAAGATGGTTAGCTTATGCTCCCAATGGTCTTGTATTATCCAGCACTGGTCGTCTGAGCCCACAGAACCTCACACCTTCTCCAGGAGTGAGCCCATCTACTTCTCCTAGCAATGGAACCTTAGTTGCTAGATATGCAATGGAGTCCAGTAAGCAAATAGCTGCTGGTATAATCAATCTTGGTGATATGGGGTACAAAACACTGTCAAAGTACTGCCAAGAACTGCTGCCTGATGGTTCTAATTCTCCTCTGTCATCAAGTCCAGGAAGGAGATCCGGCAAACTTCCCTCCACTGTGCATCCACTTGAAGCTGACAATGCGGGAACGGTTAGTTGAGGCTTGTCTATGCTTTCTTTTTTTATCTTTGACAAGTATATAGCACATTAAAGAAAATATGTATTCTTTAATGCGTCAGTGTTTCAGATTAATGATATCTTATTGGACTTTTGCAGGTTATCATCAAGGATGTTACCTCCAAAGTTGTTATATCACAGTTTAGGGCTCACACCAGTCCTATATCTGCTCTTTGTTTTGATCCTAGTGGAACCCTTTTGGTCACAGCCTCTGTTCATGGCCACAACATAAATGTTTTCCGGATCATGCCAACCTGCATTGCTAATGGCTCAGGTTCAAAACGATATGATTGGGCATCATCTCATGTTCACCTTTACAAACTGTATCGTGGCATGACAGCAGCGGTATGGTTACACAGAAACTATCAAGTTCTGTTAAAAGAACCATGTCATTATTTTTAATTACCTTGTGTTTACTTGCAGGTCATACAGGACATATCTTTTAGTCATTTTAGCCAGTGGGTATCTATTGTTTCAGCACGAGGCACTTGCCATATTTTTACATTGTCTCCATTTGGGGGTGATTCAAGTTTGCAGCCACAGAATTCTCACAGTGACGGGCCGCCTCTTGCTCCATGTCAGTCAAGGCCATGGTGGTCAAAGCCATCATTTCTTATGGATCAACAGCTTCATCCTGTGCCATCAACTGTGACAAATTCGGTGGTCAGTAGGATAAAAAACAATGGTTCTAGTTGGCTAAATACAGTCAGCAACGTGGCTGCTTCTGCAAGTGGAAAACTATCAGTGCCATCTGGTGCTATAACTGCTATTTTTTACAATTCCATTTACAAAGGTTCTCTGCCGGCTCCGTCGAAGGCTAATGCTTTGGAGCATTTATTGGTGTATTCACCGTCTGGTCATGTTATTCAACATGAACTTCTGCCTTCTTCGGGTTCTGAATCCTCTGATAACAGCCCAACAGTTGGGCCTGGCAGCCATTTGCAGCTCCAAGATGATGAGTTGCATGTCACCGCTGAGCCAGTTCAATGGTGGGATGTTTGTCGTCGGACAAACTGGCCTGAAAGAGACCAGGACATTGCAAATGTTGTATTCCACAACCAACTAAACAGGATGATGACACCGGACACTTCTGACTGTGAGGATAGTGACCATTCTGATTTCACTCCATCAAATGATGGTGTATCCAGAAAAGAGGTTATGAAAGTTAAAGAAAGATCAAGCTGGTATCTCTCAAATGCAGAGGTTCAGATAAGCTCATGGCGGATTCCCATATGGGAGAAGTCTAAGGTTGGCCTGCAATGTCTTGATACCATCACTAAATTTTACAGAATGGATATTGAACAATCTTTCATGTATATGTAGATTTGCTTCTACCTGATGGATCATCCTGCTACAGAGTCAGGGGAAGCTGTTAGCGTTCATGGTGGGGAAATTGAGATTGAAAAGCTGGCTCTTCATGAGGTTGAACTCAGGAGGAGGGAACTGCTCCCTGTGTTTAAGCAGTTCCACTATCCTGAGCAAAATAGGTAATGCCAAATTATCATGAAAGAAAAATGTTATTCTAGTCTTTTCTGTTTGTTGTCTACTGTTCTATCTCTGTTAGTTGCTGGCTGCTTATGTTTTTTTTTCAGATAATATTTTTCCCACTATTTAATGATATCAAGGGGTTGAATTTCATACCAATTTAAATGCTGCTATGGTCAAATTATATGTTTAGAACATCTCTGCCGGTAATCGTGCTCTGTTTTGTTTTGTATTGCTGTTGTACAGTTGTACACCAAGCTATAGGCAAGTAGTGCAATGCACTTAATTTTCAGTATTATCGTCCAGTGTCTTGATCTATAGTCTGAGCATAGGATGTCAATTTTGTATTGCTAAATATGTTCATAAGTTTGTAAATATCAGCAATTTCTAGTTTGAAGATATCAATTTCTGTTTGTAAATTCATAAGTTATGTTAAATGATAATTCTTGAAAAGGTCATATGCTTCTGTAAACTGCCAAGAAGCTCCTGAAGCAATCACACTATTCTGTCACTGCCCAAAATTAGATAACCTGTAATGTCAGCGCTGACGTGTATTGTTACTCTCAAAAGTATTGATTCTACCTGTCTAACTGGCTTGTCTAGCACACATTTTAATGGAAAATTATAAAGTTGGACTCGCCCAAGTTTTCTTCCAAGCTTACAAAGGATTATGTTTATCTGTGTCACCAAGTCTTGTTTATACTTGTGAATTTTGGGCCCCTGTAACTAATCTACTAAATCAACTCAGGGATTTCCCCAAAATCTACCTAATGGATTATCTCATTTTTTTGCTCAAAAGGGGATCCTTTAGCAACATACACTTAAATTCTTTGAATTACTCTCTTGCAAAACTCTTTGTCTTCCCTCTTGTAAGTGTAGGATATAGTTTAATTTTCTATTGCTAAAGTGTAATTTTGCCAGATTTAGCAAGCGATAAGTGATGCCATTGTCGTTGATGAACTTAGTAGACCTTTGGTTAGATTATCACATTTCTCCTCTCAAATGCTTTTTTATTTGACATCATCATCTGCTTGAAGTTTGCATATGAACGTGTCATGCTTGTCGTTTTTCAGGGCATAGGTTTGCACTATCATATACTTTTTACACAACCAATGCAACTTTTGAGTTACCCAGGGAATATTTTATTTGTTACTAACTCATAGTCATAGTGCTGGAAATAAGTACCATGGAGATAAACAGGGCAAAGGAAATAAAGAATATATTGAGTTTTGTTACTTGGTGCTAAGTAGTCAAACCAAGTTTTGTTTTTCATCAGTTATTGACATGTGAAATAAATAATATATTGAAATGTGCAGCAACCTTGCAAGCCGACAATTTCAGAATGCATTATCCGCCATTGACAACACACAGTATAGCTCGGCAAAGGATAGTGATGCATATGGACCCAAACCAGTGCCTCATATATCTGGATTTTACACTGGTAAATATACGTTGTGAAATTTGAACTTACTGTTTATCTCCATTATAATTGTTTATTGAAAGAGATGCTTAATCTTGCAGATATGAGAAAAACAGAGAACATGAATGGTTTAGCTGGGCAGTTATTTTCTGGACCTATTCCTGCTGTGGATATGCTGCCAAAGGAAAAGTGCAATTCTATTGGATCTCCTGAAGCTAGAAATTTGACTGCCAATCACAAAGTAGATAATGGGAGCATTGGCTATGTGTCTACACCAAATGGAACAAATGCATCCACCATCATGCCTCAGTCTATAGAGGGTGTGGATTGTTTACCATCACACATCAGACCATTGAGCAACTATTCCCTCTTGGATGGACCTCTTGATAATGGATCACCTTCTCCCGCAAGTAACGAATCATGCGGGCCTGAAATAACCAATAATTCTCTAGTCAGCAATGGTGCCATTACTGATATCCCAAGTGGAGGTCACACGGGCGTCTATTCTGGACAGAATGAAACACCTGGTTCTCAGAACTCTGGAGAGTTTACCCAGTATTTCCAAGAGGGCTATTGTAAAATATCAGAACTCGATGACTGCCGTGAGTTAACTGAAGCTGTTACTGATGCTGACAGCAGCAGCAGCCACTGCGAGAGAGAGAAGCCCGAGGAAGATGGGGACAACGATGACATGCTTGGAGGGGTTTTCGCCTTCAGTGAAGAAGGTAATACACAACGCAAGTGATGATAGAAAGGTCATCATTGAACTTAATTGTTGGTGATTGTACTTTTGTGTTTGCGCTGATCTCTGTTCTGTCTTTGTGGCAGGTTGAACTTACTATACTGCTTTACTTGGGATAGATAATGGTAAACAGTTGCCACACCATTCAGTGTGCAATATTATGTAGAAAATGGTGGAATTCTAGTAGGCTTCCGTGGAATAAAGTTGTGCCGCGTCGATAATCTAATGTTTGGTACATATTTGGAAGGTGAAGTTTGCGCTCCATGTTTATTTGCCGGAAGAGTTCACTCTGGAGTTTGAGTCGAAGATCCCTCCAGGCAATTTACTAATCCACGGAAGGAAGGGAGTTTGGTGTTTGTCGAGAAGCTGCCACTGCCTGCCGCGACACTTGGCCCGCCCTTTTTCTGTTTGCTTTGTACATACTGTAAGACCCATTTGTTTCGTGAGATACACTTCTGGGACATTTGGATGGTCTGAAACCCTGGCGAGCCATATTTGTTGACTGCTTCCTGCCAGGGCCTGTGAATGTTCCATGTTTATTTGTACATACTTTCATGTTTTATTAAGAGAAAGGAATGCTGGCAACGATTAATGTGACATAACTGTATAAACATTCAGTGAAAGATTTCTGTTTACGAAGTCGCTATGTTCTGCTCTTCCTTTCTGTCTGTGTTGCATGCTCAGTAATTGACTGCTGCTATGATGAATTACAAGTGGCTTCTGGTGTTGGAAGATAATTAGTCACAGCATTTTCTGTATGTTCGCAAGGACACTTGCTACGGAAATTACATGTGTGGGATGTGTCTATTTAGCAAGTCTGGTGTGAATTTGGGGCAGGCTTTCAGGGTATATTCCCACGTGGAACCACCTTGTTCCGTTTCACTCACTCTTCCCGATAATCGGTTGTCGGGCCTCTTTTAATAAATTACTCTTCCCGATAATCGGTTGTCGGGCCTCTTTCAATAAATTAGAACAATGCCCGCCAGTTGCAATGGCATATAAATATTCTACTACGTTAGCTTGTGATTTACATGTTAATAATAATGCGATTGTATAAATAAATGTATCAATCTGACTGAATTACCTTATACTCCCTCTATCCTAAAATTCTTGTTTTAGATTTGTCTAAATACGGATGTATCAAGTCATGTTTTAATATTAGATATATTCGTGTCTAGACAAATCTAATATAAGAATTTTGAGACGAAGGGCATATTTTGATTAAAAATTTGGTAAGTAAATTAAAATAAAATTGGTTCAGAAGGTAAGTAAATTAAGTTGATTGATTATCATATAGAGTACATGGAAGATTGGACGAATGGGTGGTGGGAAGAAAGGTGAAATGAAAATCTTACATTCTTTTTAAGCAGTGGAGATAGCAAAGAAAAGATAGAGATTTGAGGTATGTAGGTGTAATACTTTCTCCCTCTCCAACAATCCATTCCCCAATACCGATTTTGACATGTGGCCCCACTTGTCAATAACATCTCTCTCTCTTCCTCTCTTCTTGGATGGTGGCGCAACAATTGGCGGTGGTTTGATAGCGGCATGGTGGTTCGACGGGGTGGCAGTGAATGACGATTAGACCTGGCCATGGGCAGCCCGGCCCGGCCCGAAAAAGCCCAACCCGGCCCGGCCCGATGCTGCTCCCGCGCCGGGCTCGGGCCTAGATTTTGAGCCCGGTGGCCTGGCCGGGCCGGGCCCGGGCCCATCATTTTTGCCGTTTTCTGAAGGGGCCCGGCAGGCTTTTGCATGTTTGGGCCAGGCTTGGGCCCAAAAACTAGGCCCGATGGCCGGGCCGGGCCGGGCTCGGGCCCAGGTTTTTTGGCTCAGGCTTGGCTAAGCCCGGCCCAAATCCCGGCCCGGCCCGAGGTTTGGCCAGGTATAATGACGATAGTGCAGTAGTCTGACATGCATTGGCGGCGACACGCGTTGACGTGGCATGTATTGGGGAAGAGCCAACTCCCTCTCCATATAGGGGGAGTTGGGACTGTTTCTTTATGATCATCATTTTTTTAGTGGACCAAAAATTTATTGAAGAAAGAGAAGTTGTTGAAGCTGTCTTTTTTTTTCTTTTTTTGGCCCAACTCCCCTAATACTAAAAACTTATTGAAGAAATGAGAGCTGTTGAAGATGCTCTACAATGGACGGCCCCAATTATTCGAACCATTATATTACATAGTATTGCTCGATGACTCTAACTGAGTTTAGAGCTGAGTTTCGAGTATACTTCCTCCATCCCATAATATAAGAGCGTTTTTGGACCAACGTACAAAACTACAAAGGTAGTTAACAAGACAATCATCTAAGTTATCCACCGTGCAAGTTTTGTTGCTGAGCATTTAATTTTTGTCTGAGAAAAATTCACTGTAGGTCACTAAACTTGAGCCGGTTGACAATTTAGTACCACTACTTCAAAATACCCGAACTACGGTCCACGTACTTATGCAAGGGGTTCATTTTGGTCAGTATGTATGATTTCGTGTACGTATTTGCTGACTTGGCCGAGTCAGCGGCCGCCAGTTCGGTTTGACCGCCACCTGGTCGTGCCTAGGGTGAATACTAGTCCATCTGAGGTTTTTTTTTTGCAAAATCGCCGTGACCATTAAACCAGCCTACCTGGTCGGACCGCACCAGCTCGCTGTCTCCCTCTCCTCCCGCACCCGCTCGCTGTCTCCTCTGCTCCCGCACCCTCTTTGCTCGTCGTCCCTGCCGAGGTCGTCCTGTGAGCTCGTCGCCGTCGACGACGGCTCCATGAGCACGTCGTCGGACGCTGAGCCGCCGCCGTCCGCGCCGTTTGGGAGGGGCCTGCGCGACGTCCCTCTTGCTCCTTCGCGTCGCCGTGATGATGCCTCGCCGCCCCTGTATGGTACGTCGCCGTCGCCAGCAGCTCCGTTGCTCGATCTGTCCAATTTAGCTCCCGTAAAGAGTTTTTAGTCGCATCAATTGCGCGTACGAGCTAGGGTTTGGGCGTTCGTTCAACTTTCTGACGGATTGGGTGTGGGTGGTAGGGTTTTAGCAGTTTCTTGATGAACTTAGTGGCAGGCCAAAAATAGGGATGCATCCTGTGTTAGGATGGGGGGTTTGCAGTTGATGGCCATGTTTGGAGAGATCTATAGTGGTTAGGGTTCTTTCTCCCCCAATTTGTCATGGGTCCAAGGGCCTAGGGTTTAAGCGGTAAAGGTTGCTTTTAGTGTCAGAGTGTTAATTGGACAAAAAATGTTTTAATTTGCAATTACATTAGGGCAGATTTACCAAAAATGGTTGCTTTATGACCTGTAAGATCATACATTTGTTAATTGGAGGCCAGGAATCTGTGCTTTTCTCTTCTGAAAAAGTCTAAATTTTGTACTGTCTGAACCTCTCTGTAGTCTGAACTTTTTAACTTGATTGTTTTGCAGGACCCTTAGGCAACCACTTCTCTGTTGAGGTCATACATGGTGGCTATTTTCTGTGTGCTGGCAAGCATAGGGATTATCACAAAGGTCACTCCATTTGGTATGATTACTGTGACATAGATAATTGGACACCCAATGTTGTTGCCAGTCTAGTGGAGGAAATTGGATATGACTTTGAGGGCATGATCAGGGCTTATTGGTGTGTTCCTGGATTGACAGTGTATAAGAATGGATTAAGAGAGATCAAGATAGGGGACAACACTATGACAGAAAACATGAAGGATTGTGTTATGAATGGCAACCAGTTCCAATAGATATTCCTTGATCATGATGAGAGCATGAGATCATTTATATCTCCTGTTCCTATTCACTCTGATGATGAGGATCCTCCAATTGTCAGGTTCAGTGGCATTAGGCCAAAGAAGAAGAAGGCACACCAACAGCAAGTGGAGCAGGCAGAAAAGCAGCAAGAGGAGCAGGCTGAGCTCACTCTAGTGGAACAGGAGCAGGCTGAGCTCCCTCAAGTGGAACAGGAGCTGCCTCAGCATGATCAAGAGCATGAGAAAGATGAAGCAGAGTCAGAAAGTGGAGCAGAGTCAGAAGAAGATGGATGCAGCAGAAATCCTGTAGGTTTGGGTTTAGGGCCAGGAAATCCTGTAGGTTTTTGAACATGGATGCAGCAGACACAGTTGGTTGTTTAGTAATGCAGGATTCAAATGAAGATTACATTCCACAAATTGTTAATTCAGACATTGATCTACAAGATGATGATGACTTGTTTGACAAAAATGTTGATTGTGAGAAAGGCAAAGGTAAAGCAGTCCAAGAAGAAGCTGATGATCCTACTGAAGATGTGGATATGTGTCTGCCATCTTCTGATGAAGATAAGGTGAAGCTAAATTTCAAAAGTTTTACAGAGGAAGACCTGACTAAACCACAGTTTCAAGTTGGCCAGACCTTTGGATCTGTTGAGTTCCTAAGGAAAGCTACCAAAGAGTACAACTGTCAGGAGAGAGTTGACATTAAATGCCCCAAAAATGATAGGAAAAGACTGAATGCCATTTGCGAAGATGGGTGCCCTTGGACCTTGTCTGCATCATTTGATGGGAGAATCAACTGCTTCATGATCAAGAAATACAATCCAAAGCATACATGCATAAAGAAATGGTGTGTTAAGTCATTCACTGCTCCTTTTATGGCTGGAAAATATGTTGATTCCTTCAGAGCAGATGAAAACATGAATATGAATTTTTTTGCAAGGGTGGTTCAGAAAGATTGAAACATGACAGCAACAAGGAGCAAGATCAGAAGGGCTAAGAGGCTAGTGAATAAAGTGATTGAAGGAGATGAGTTGGAGCAGTACAACAGCATGTGGGATTATGCACAAGAATTTAGAAGATCAAATCCAGGCAGTTCTTTCTATGTGGGTGTTAGTAATGGCATATTTGCAAATTGTTATTTCTCTCTGGATGCCTGCAAAAGGGGTTTCATGCAAGCCTGTAGGCCTGTCATTTGTTTGGATGGATGCCACCTGAAGACAAAGTATGGAGGTGTTATGTTGTGTGCTGTTGGCATGGATCCTAATGACTGCATTTACCCTATAGCTTTTGCCGTTGTTGAGGTAGAGAACACTGACACATGGAAATGATTTCTGTCAAATCTGAAGAGTGACTTGGGAATTGTAAACACAGAG